TCGCCATTCCTGGTCAATGGGAACTGCAATCACCCATGCCTATGGAGGTGCAGATAAATATAGTGGCAGCAACCCACCAGTAGCTAACCATGGTGAACCGCTGCCATTTTATTGCCTGCCCCTGGGCTAGTGCCTATTGGCTTCAATGGGATGTTGCCTAAGGAAGGAATGATCTTAAAACTGAGCAAGGCCTTCAGAATTTGACCTGATGTTTTAAAAATTTGCATATCTCAGATAATCTAGTATCCTAAAACAAAACTGTTGTCTGAATTCAAGTCCAGGAAAAGACTGAGTGAATCCATAATTAGCTAAGATAAAAAGCAAAGGGGGAAATGCAGTGCTCTCCCCCCCTCCCAAAAAGCAAAGGGGGAAATGCAGTGCTCTCTTCCCTCTCTCCCCCCAACCACCACACACACATGTGCTGTTTATCTTTACACTGGCCGATTCCACTTATTTAAATACAAACATTCCAAACATGGAACCTGATTCTTCAAATACCAAGAAATCTAACTTTACTCCAAGGAGTCACTAGAACAATTCCTGTAAGTTACTTCCACCTACAAATATTGAAAGGATCATGTCCTAAGATATTTCCAAATGCTGATCTGCCAAATATTGGTGTTAAGCACTTTACATTTAAACTACATTAACTAAAAAAAGACCATATTCATCGTGTGTAGGTAGAATTAAAGAATATGATCAAACTACTGGATGTGTCAAACTGCAGGACCAAGCATCATCTAGAACGTCGCTAATAGATGTCTATCCAGCCTGCTCTTAAACATCTAAATGTCTTCACCCAGTAAACATTTGGATGTTGTAAGCAAGATTTGAGGTAAAGACATGTGTTTTATAGCATAGGACTGAGATAAGAAGAGGCTTCATTCAATTCCTAACTCTGCTACATATTTCCTATAGGGCAAGTCACCCAACTGTCTAATACCTAGGTTTTTAGTTATGTAAACTGAGAATATTATTTACCCAGCTCACTAAGATTTTGAAAGCTTATTTCAGTGGTGTTTGTTAAGCAGCCTGAGGAGCACAGACAGAAGGTGCAAATAACTTCAAATAAATGGAAATTGTTTCTTCAGAGTTTGTCCATTATAAAGCCACCTTCCACATTTTGCTCATTATTTTAATGGTTCCATTTATATTGAGATAAAATGAAAAGCTTCTAATTGTAAGAACTGCACCAAAGGTGAAAAGTATACATTGTTCTATGCCAAGAACAGCTGATTGTCTGCCAGAATACAAGTAGGTGTTGTTAGAAAATGACTTAGAGGGATAATGAATTGCAAACTAAAAGGGTTTAACATGAGAAGTGCAGTGTTCTCTCAAAATAGTGATATAATTTTCTCTCTCCTTTTAGTGTCATCTGTTCTGGGAAGTATGTTAAAAATGGATTGAATTGAGACTGGACTAAATTTTCTCTCTCCTTTTAGTGTCATCTGTTCTGGCAAGTATGTTAAAAAATGGATTGAATTGAGACAGGACTCCAACTAGTAGATTATGTCTATTATCCAATAATTTCAATTAGATATAAAACCACAAATATTTTGGCTTTGCCACCCCACAGACATTTTACATTCATTTCTGAAATATGAAGGTTACAAGTAAAATTCAGACAAACACACCACTACCACCGTTTTAATTGCCTTAAAATAATGTTGCCCCCCTTTTGACTCCAGTAGATAGAACATATTCCAGGCCCATAGATTTTACTATTTCAAAGTAGAAATTGATGGAGCCTGGTATCTTTTTTTTTTTTTTGATGCAAGCTTGTTTATTTACAAAGCATGTACAAAGTCCTGTGTTTCTGAAGCAAGAGGAACCAAGAACAAAAGGAGCACTTTCAGCTACAAGTCTCTTTAATCAACAGACCACAAAGCTGTCTCTAGCTCTTTTCCCCCACATCACACTGTTAAGATTTCTTCCTAGCTTTCTTGCTCTTTTTCCATCTGTGTGTGTGTCTCTCTCTCGTCTCATTTTTTATCAGTCTTCTAACTCTTCTGCTTTCCCTCCCTACTTCCCTTTCCCATATCAATCCAATACTCAGCCTATAGCTCCTGGATGGGTTCCTATGCATTTCTTTCCTCCCTGAGGGCTTACATTTATATTAATAAAGGAATGTATTGAGGCCTATAAAACTCAGTGGGGTTTTTAACATGATTCATAACAAGGTTTCATCCAGATCATAACTACCTTATCAATTTCAAAAGAGAACAAGTGCAGTAGAAACCATTTCAAATTCAGTATCTCCCAACCATAAATGCACAATTACCACAGATAGCTCAAGTTCTGAACAGAGAGAAAATCTATAGTATTTGATCCCTCTGGGTGGTAACTGTTGGTAAACACTGAAATTTTAGAAGTGCCTCCTACAGACAGAATGTAACTACTCAGCCTGCAATTCATCAAAAACATCAAGGGTCAAATACTAAGGTCTGATAAATGGTGGCATGAGCTAGAATTTTACCTTCTTAATCGTCTTATATACTCTCTAAATACTATTTGGAAGAAATTATGCTGACTTACTTGAACAAGTATTCACTCTCATGCCAACTGTAGCTCATGCCATCATTTTTATCCCCTTTGAATTCGAAAGAGACTTTTAAAGTGCTTAATTTTGTTTTAAAAAAGCCATGATCTTGTAATGTCCAAAACTTCAGTTCAGTGAACAATGAACTATCTGGTACAAGTCCACATAGATTTTTAAATTGTAGGCAAAAGAATCTACAAAATTATGCTACCAACTTTTAAACTGTGCTCTGATGTTTAAGAGGCTTGACTTATTGTCGATCCACATAGATTTTTAAATTGTAGGCAAAGGAATCTACAAAATTATGCTACCACCTTTTAAACTGTGCTCTGATGTTTAAGTGGCTTGACTTATTGTCGATTTTTTTTAAAGGACAGTTTTGTGTTGGATCCCTGGGAACAAGGCAATTTTTTCTTCTTCTGTTTTTCTTTTGCAGAAACTAGCACTATTTTTATGAGCGAAAATTTAATTTTATTCTGGGTGAAATTTCAGCACTTGGTAGCAGAACATTTTTTACATTTAAAAAACCAAATGCCTCGTCTCCCCGCCCCAAACTCTCACATGTCGGTCATTTTGAATTTTCATGGTAACATGCACACAATTTCTGAAATAAAACTACAAAAGTATTTTGCAAAACATGTTCTGCTGTTGAATATGGCAGCCCCATCCATTCACAAAGTAGCTTCCCTTTTAAAATTAGATAATACAGTTAATGGGATTCTTTCCCCTACTCACATTGACTGGTACTCCACATTTAGTCCCATTGAAATTAACATGTTTAATACTTGCATAAACAGGCCCTATTACTTTAAAGAGTCTGAAAAATGCTGCTCCAGTCCAAATGAACCGTGCAACTATTCAGCAGTGCTCTGTTTCCTCCTTTATTTCTACTGAACACTGCAGTCTTGTATCTTATGGGGGGCTTTAAAAATGGTTGTTAATTAAGGAGGCTTTAACCTCTGTACTCTGGGTGTCCCTCATCCGGGAACATCCATAGTAATGAGGCATGCAGAGCCACTTCCCTTCCTCTCCAAACTGGGGAAATGGAACGTATAGACCCACTTCCCTTAAGGCTTTTCCCTTCTGCCCCCCTTGTGGCATGGGGTGGTATCTGGGAGCTGCAGGAAGTACAAAGCTATGTGTGCCCCTGGGAAAGGGGGGGGCAGATAAGCGCCCCACCTCCACCTCTTTAGCCCAGACCCCACAGTACTCTCCTTCGCCTAGGAAAATGTTTAATCCAATACACCCTGTTTTGCAAGGTTTCTGTTTTAAAGAGGTGCAGGGTATGAGGCAAAATGGGTGCATGTCTATTACACCTGTAGGTTGTAATCTCTTTTTCTTATGTCTTCGTGTATCTTTATCTGCTAATATGAGTGCAGACACGCAACAGAACATCTTCAAACACAATAGGGTGTCAAAAGAATTTAGTGTTTGCCACGAACAACATCTATTATATGAAAGGCTATGGTTGTTAAAATCTTTGGTGCATAGCTATTCCTTTTAGTGTTTTGACTTTTTATCGGACAGTGTATTAGCTCTAATGTTATGATGCATCATATTTAGTTTTTAGAAACAATCCACTTGCACTGGATGTTATTCTATTAGCATCTATCATGTCATGTTAATGTGATCCAGTAACAGAGTTTGAGTGAAGAATATGATGTTTGTATGCTGGCTGCAACTCACATTCCTGGGGGCAGAGTTAATATGACAAAGTTGACTACCGTCCACCTTTTTGCAGCAGTCTTTGACCTCATTTCTCTTCCTCTCCCCCTGGCCATAAAGCATAGCCATCCTCCTTTGGCAAACCCAGACAACATCTGCCCCACTTTAATTGCAGTGCAGTCATTTGTATCAGCATATAAAGGTGGCCACTTAATTAAGCTTAAGGATTTGAGTGGTTGATTGTTTAGCAATGGTTCTATTATAACTCTCCTCATATTCCATTTCTAACACTATTTTACATTGACTGTATTTGTTTTTGAATAAGACTTCCCTTTAAGCCTTTCTTCTCTCCCCTTTTCTCTTGTATTGAAGATATCAAGCACTCACTGGAGGCAAAAATCATAGCCATACCTCCTCTTTTTTGTTGCTGTTTGTTGTTGTTCCCTTTTATCATTAAATGAACATATCAATATTTATTTCTTTTTGAGTTTGGTTGTAGGTAAAGTTATATTCTTTGCCAATTATACATAGAATCTAGCCTTTACATGAGTGAAAAGTTTGCTTTAAAACAACTGTTTTACTTTTTCTATGATGAATGAGCAGTCCCAAAGTTGTATTCATGACACTAATTATGATTTAAAACTTCATTTTACAAGAACGTCTAGATGTCCCAATCAGCAGTAGGTCCCTGTATAAAACCTGGCATGGACTTGGCACTTGAAATTGATGCATTGAACAAATTTAAATAAGTTTATAATGAACTGAAGAAGGTTCTACCCTTTCTTTTTCTTTCTAGGCTCGGGACTCAATGATGGGCAATGGCATGAAATCCGTTTTCTAGCCAAGGAAAATTTTGCTGTCCTCACCATTGATGGAGATGAAGCCTCAGCAGTTCGGACAAACAGTCCTCTGCAAGTTAAAACTGGGGAGAAATATTTCTTTGGAGGTAAAACTGCGGTACTAACATATCTGTATAGTGCTATCCTTTTGTTACCTATACAGGAGGTAAATGTGGAGCTTAAGAGTGAAACCCAGTCCTCATAGTGTTTGTATTATCAATCTTATAGAAGTAGCTTAGGTGATGACCTCCTCCCAACCCCCTCTCCAAGCCCCTCCCCCTACTGTTTTATTAGTCTTTTGTTACCTCATGTTTGACACACACAAACTGAGATACTTTCTGAGGAATACGTTTTTTCAAACTTTTTGCAACATAAAATCAGTTTGAAAGTTTGGCACAGAGGCTGTTGAGAGGGTAGAACAGAACTGGTTAACATATGGCGAGCTCCCTGATGCTACTTTCTAAAAAGATACACCAAACCATCTCCATAATGTGGCATCTGTTCCACTCGGTGCTGTGATATTCGAGTATGGGCCTGTCTTTTTCTGTTTTTAGCTGTAATTCAAGAACACATTCCTATTTAGGACAGGATTTAACTGTGTTTACCTTTAAGCATATGCTTAAGTATCCTTGGAGTCAATGGAATGTAGGTGCATGCTCATGGATAGATTTAAGCACACATTTGACTGTGTTTTCTAATTGGTGCTTTAGAATGATTAGTACTAAAAGCCAGAAGCAGTCTTGTGTTTTCTAATTGGTGCTTTAGAATGATTAAAAGTACTAAAAGCCAGAAGCAGTCCATGTACTCCAGTAAGGTTGAGAGTATAGCTGTTAAATGCCCTGAGTGGAAAAACTTCTTTCACTCTCCCAGGCCATCTTGTGTTAGCGGGAAAGGATCAGTCACAATATAGAATTTTGTATTAATCTCACAAAACATATTTCATTTTAGTTATTGTATTATATGGTTGTAGATAAATTGTGCATATGTCAGCTCTCTTATTTTACCACATGCAGTCTTTACTCAGGCACATGTCCCATGGAGATCAAACACTGAGATCAATTGAATTTTTGCGCTGATTGATCCACAGGCAGTTTGAGTTTATATATCAGGATGCTGGGCATACAATCAACTTTTTTAGGGTTTTTAATAGAAATGTGCTGTGTTTTTAAACTGCCTGTTTTAATTTTGCAAACTGAGCAGCTAATAGAAAACAGTACAGCTCTACAAATGCTCCTGTTACCCAAGTGATAGAAAAGTTACTGAGATTATTATTTTAATTTGCAAAGGAGAAGAACAAAAAATCCTTTCAAGATTATTCTCATTTACTTCCATCAGCAGAATCATTAAAATATATATGGAAATTAGCATTTAAATATTCTTATAAAAACTGTTATACATTTACTTAAGAATGATATAATCCTTTTGATAATATATGCCACAAATTTCTGGGAAACCTGTGTCCTCATGGTAGTAATGATAATGAAAAGCATTTCTTTACATCTAACACTTACTGAGTTCCGTTATAAATATTGCCAGATTAAATGTCACTAGTCACAGAATTTAACCTGTGTTCTCCCCATCTCTGCAAGTTCTCGTGGTCCTCTATCTTTCCATGTGTCCCTACTATTTGCCCAGTGTCTAAGTGGTGGTTCTAAAGGGGTTACCTCAGACAAGAGCCCCAACATAACCAATTGTCTTTCACAAAGTTTTAAAAGGTTGTTGTTTATTCAAGAATGTACTGCTTTGACTTTACATTGAAATAGTCAGGGACTTGGATGGTCTCATTAAAACAAGTTATGAAGAATCAAATTAAATAAAAAACCTATATGCCTAACACTTTCTGTACTGAATCCTGAGAAAGCTAATCAATATAGGTACAACCCTGGTCATTGTAAGGAATAAGTAAGATTTTTATTTCTGGAAACTGCACCCTTTCTGCCTGGCATGTCTTATCAATATAAAGATTTTTATTTCTGGAAACTGCACCCTTTCTCCCTGGCATGTCTTAACCCGGGGTGGGCAATAAGCGACCCATGGGCCAGGTTTAGTTTGCCAGGGCTGGCCGCTAGAGGGCCACCAGACACATTATTTATCTATGCATCCTCAGGTACAGTTGTTCACAATTCCCATTGGCCACAGTTCACCATTACTGACCAATGGGAGCTGCAGGAAGTGGTGTAGACTAACACTACTTTTCGCAGCTTCCCTTGGCTAAGAACAACAAACGATGGCCAATGGAAGCTGTGATAAGATGTACCTGTGGATGCTCAGATAAGCAAAGCATCTGATGGCCTCCCAGGAGATAATCCTCACTAACTGCATCTGGCCTGTGGGCCATTTACTTCCCATGCCACTCTCATCCTCTGACACTTTGACCTTGTGATAGATAGCATGTAGTCTGAAGGTGTCAAGTGTCCGATTTCCTCCCATTTCATCTGTGATCATTTTAATTCCAACTCTTATCTCTCCTCCCTCCCCCCCCAAAAAAATATTTACACAGATGGGAGTCTCACATCAACGGCTGTTTGTATGTTTTTCGGCTTTGATCAGCATTGTACTTGTTGCATTGGGTGAACGGTATGTGTCCTGCACCTCTTTTACAACTTGAAGTTCTTTGGAAGGCGTATTCAAGGAGTAGATTTCTTGTGCACCTTGTGTTCAATTTCATACCCAAATATACATCCTGCACTTCAAGATTATACTCTTGAATTTTAATTGTCCTGGCAGGTGTTTTGAACCCCAGGCAGGCTTGATTTTTGCTTTGAAACTGAGGGACTCCTCTGTTTAAACTTTTCTCAACACTAATTCTGCTTTATATCAGCTATAAACTACTGACAATTTAAAGTCTATTTCTTGCATAAATATATTAGAAATTATAGACAATATGCTCAAAAATTGCTCTAAACAGCAAGGGAAATTTTATGAGGGAATTTCCCTGTACTTTTTTCTACATTTATTTTCTGTTCTTTGCCCCTGCCCCCAGTATTAAAATGTGCATGGGACAGATAGAGAATCTCCCTTGACAACTTTTCAACTCCATATGAGCTCTCTTTCTGAACACTTTGACTTGTATATCATCAGTTCTCCGATACCTCTAGCTCCCTACGACTATTTAATATTTACTAGTTTTTGTCATTGGCAAATGTTTTTTTGTCAGCCTGATCCTGCTACCACAATTGTCAGTTGCCCAGATGTTGTGAACCATGCACATCCTATTCATATGCTGTTATTGAACTGATATGTCTTATGAGCTAAGGAGGAAGGAAAAGGAGGGAAAATTATCTAGTTAATACAGTGGTTCTGAAAGTGCAGTCCACAGCCATCTTGCAGTGAGCCGTGGCTTGAGGCTCAAACTCCCCCCTCTGCAGCAGGGAGTCAATGCTGGTGCTCCAGCCCCATGACCTCCCCTATGAGGTTGGAGTGCCAGTGCTTTCTTCCTGCTGCAAGGCGGGAAGGATCTTCGAGCCTCGCAAGCCAGATCCTGCTCATGGGAGGAGAAGGAGGCTCTGTGCATTGCTGTTTCCCCCTTCCTGCAGCTGGGAGGAATAGATGTACAGGGAAGTGCTGCCTGGAGGCCTTCCCTGATGCTTCCATTGGCTGGAATCATGGCCAATGGGAGAAGCAGGAGACAGTGCCTTGGTTGCAGTGTCTGGGAGTGGCATGCCTCCCATCCACCTCATGCCTAGACCTTACACCTGCATCCCACTCAAACATCCCCCTGCCATGACCCCACAACCCCACTCCACTGCACCCAGCAGGGCTGACAGCCACTGCAGGCCCCAGAGCAAGGTTGGGGGGACTGTCTCTGAACCCCGAGCCCTCAAAGCTGAGTGGAGTAGCACTTGGCAGGATAAATAGCTGGGCCCGAGAGCAATAGTCTCCTCTGCCCCCCTGTTGACAAGCCTGCCTGCACCACATACTCCCTTCCCCCTGCACCCATTTTATCATCATAGAGCAGGGCTGACAGCCACTGCAGGCCCCAGAGCAAGGTTGGGGGGACTGTCTCTGAACCCCGAGCCCTCAAAGCTGAGTGGAGTAGCACTTGGCAGGATAAATAGCTGGGCCCGAGAGCAATAGTCTCCTCTGCCCCCCTGTTGACAAGCCTGCCTGCACCACATACTCCCTTCCCCCTGCACCCATTTTATCATCATAGATGGCTGGCTGGTGATCCACAGAAAAGTCTGCATTGATTGAATTGGGCTGTGAGCCAAAATGTTTTGAGAACCACTGAGTTAACAGACTGATATTTAAATATTGCAAAGATAGTTGGGGACTGTGACGGGGCCCGCCAACCCTACCAACAAGGGGTAGAGGAGCCCGCCTATGGGGTGGAATACGCCCCTTCCCTGCAGGGCATGCTCCCAGTGCAGCCCCGGTATAAAAGCCTGCAGAGCAGCCCAGTTGAGACTGACCTCCAGAGGAGAAGGAGCTACTGCCCAACCACCAGAGCTACAACTGCAGCAGCCGAAGCGAGAGGCGCCGGATCAGCTGACCCTCCCCTACTATCCCCAGGCCAAGCTCGACTGCAACATCGACTGAACAATGCAGCCCCCCTAGATGCTGTTGCCGCATCAGTTCCGGCTACACCAGATGCAAGGCCTGCCAATGCTGCATCTACAGATGGTCCCCTCCGCCGGCCAGGGGAATGGGGTAGGAAGCAACCTAGGGCGGGGAGCAGGAAAAGCCCTGGTGGGCTCGGCGCATTACGGGGAGAATTCCCTGCCGAGCCAGTGGTGGGAACCACCCACCACTAATAGGGCCCTGGGTTGGGACCCGGTGGAGAGGGAGGGCCCGGGCCCTCCTACCCCTTCTTCCCACATCCCAGATGAGCCGCCGGCCAGGGGAATGGGGTAGGAAGCAACCTAGGGCGGGGAGCAGGAAAAGCCCTGGTGGGCTCGGCGCATTACGGGGAGAATTCCCTGCCGAGCCAGTGGTGGGAACCACCCACCACTAATAGGGCCCTGGGTTGGGACCCGGTGGAGAGGGAGGGCCCGGGCCCTCCTACCCCTTCTTCCCACATCCCAGATGAGGAGCGGATCACATGAGAGACTAGGCCTCAGGGCCCGTGCACAAGAGGCTAGGCCTCAGTGCCTGTGGGTGAAGGTCT